CGGCCCGACGCGGGGCGGGGAAGGAAGGCTCGCCCGGCTCGGTCTGCAGAGCTTCTGCCTGGAGTCTGGTGCGAGGAGAGGCCATGGCCGCCGCGGAGAGACGGCCCGGAGTTCCTGCTCCCGCGCTCAGACTCCCAGGACCACCTCGCCCGGGATCGGCCTTCTTGGGGGCGAGGGTGGGGACTTGGCAGAAAGGAGAAAGGGCTGGAGTCTGCACCGCCCGGGTGGAGAGGCGCGGGGAGCCTCGTGGATTCAGCAGCTCCAGGCGGGCTTGGCAACAGGTCCAGCGGCCTCGAGGTTACTCTGGGGCGTTCAACTCAATGGCCCTCTGTTTCAAATCCCGCCAGGAATGCCCTGCGCTCTCTGCTGGCACAATCCCTACCCCAGGAGCCTCCTTCCTTCTCCGATCGGACTTGCAGGGCATGAAATGTGAAACGTACTCACTGGGGATAGAGTTGAATATGTGAAGTGACCAACTGGATAGTCATTCATTCTCTCCCCGCCCCCCCCCCCCCCCCCCCCCCTGGGAAGGGGACTTGGAGAGAGAGGTTAGGAACCGCTTGGGATCCGAGGGGTTTGTTTTTAAGCTGTTGGGCAGGTGCTTTGTCCCTTGGGGCGTGGACTGACTGCTGCCCCAGAGTTTGGGGAGCGGTGTTATGGGCCATGCGAGTTTGGGGAGGGACTGACCAGCAGGCAGAGGTCGCACCCCTGCAGCCCTCGATGCACTGTTAGGTCTCAGGAGGCTGAAGGTCAGGGAAGCTCTTTGGGGACAGTGGGGTTCTCAGTGGGGCGTTTCCCAAGAAGAGACCTCAGGACTCAGCACCTCCGCTTCCCCGGAAAGATGACCCAGAGAAGGGCCGGCCGGGCCATCGGGGCCTCCTGCGGGAGGTAGAACCCTTGGCCTGTCAGGGTAAAAGCTGCTTCATTGTTACAGCTTACACATCACATTCCCACCTGTCACCTCTCTCATCATCATCCGAGCCTGGGGTCAGCCCTGTACGCAACGCTGATTGCTCATTGCCGTCAGGGTTAAAAACCGGCTCAAGCCCTGGTCGGTAACTCAGCCGGTAGCTCCGTTAGTTAGAGTGTCACCCCGTTAGTTAGAGTGTCACCCCGATACACCAAGGTTTTGGGTTTGATTTCCCGGCCCCTGGGCCTAAACCTGGGACCTGCCATCACTGAGTCCTTCCTCCCTTCCTCCCCC